GTGACAGGGCTTTCCATCTTCCTGCTTTGGAAACCTGTCTTTCCTTCTCCGTGGCTCCCTTTGTAAATCACGGGAAATAATAATTCAGCCCCGTCTTTCCCAAAGAGGATTTACATTCTTGGGTTGACAGGGATTGTTCTGGTGCTGTTTGTTTATAAGGAATCCAGCAAAATGGGCTGGATTTCATCTGGGAAATGATGTTTTACTGTAAGCAAACTGAATGAGAGCATAGTAAGGATCTGGAGCCCAAATGAACCTGGTCAAACATTTTTTTTTAAGGACTTAATTTTAACTTTTTTTGCAGTAGAAATATAAGTTTAATTCCTTTATTCACCTTGTGTCTGGCTCCCACTGAGATCAGAAGTGTTGGGAGGGGTCTCTACCTGAAATATTCGTTGAAAAGGAGAAGACAGATTTGTGTAAATAATTATATAAATATGTTGTATCAATATTTTGGGGGGTTAAAAAACCCAAACAATCAGACTTGCAGCTCCCAAAAGTGCACATTCCCCCCCCCCAAATAATTTATTTGTTCACCTGGCAAGGTTTTACATACATTCAGTTTTGTTCAAGGAAATGACCAGCATCAAACATGTCACATGAGAAACCTTGAAAACATAGAAAATCCAATGACAAGGGAACACAATCCTCGGAAAATGCAGGGAATGTTCAGGAAACGTCTTTAAAAACCACTGGCAGCCAAACTCCTACAACATGCAGGCAAAATGCTGCAGACAGAAGGAAAAAGAAAAGAGTTTTGCAACCAAAGCCCCCCCCAAAAAAGCCCAAACCAGCTTGTTTACAGTTCCCACAGTGCAGGGCTGGGGAGAACAGAATATTCAGGATATTCAGCAGAGGGTTTGTGCCATCAGCTGAGTGGAATTGCTTTGGAAGTGGAGACCTGCTGGAATGCTGGGTGCATTTGTGTTTCCTTCTTCAGCCCTACAAGAAAGAAATTCAGAGCAAGGCAAGGAGGTCTTGTCGGGAAAAGAAAACCATTTTTTGCTTTTCTCCATCAACACTTGGAGGGTTTTTGACTCTGAGAAAAGACCTTCATTTGGTTGTGATGATATTTCTCAGCCTGGGTTTGAGCTCAGGATTATCCTGAGCCAGGAACCTGCATTAACTGGCCCTTGGAGGGTGTTGGGGGACCAACAGATGTGTTATTTCTCGTGTGAGAGCTGCAACACAAAGCCTCCCCTTCAGCAATTCACTTCCCCTTAGCTCACCTTGGCTGTTTTCTCCTTCTCTGTCAGTGTGAGAAACGTGCAGTGAGAAGACCTGACATTTTCCTCCAGTCCCTGAGACAAATGTTTCATCTCCCCCCGGGAAACCAGAGATTCCGTGACATCCATCAAGAGCTGCCTTTGGATGCACCACGAGCTCTCTCTGGAGTGTCTTGTTTTGTAATCCTGTCATGGATTAAACAATCTGGTTGGAAATACCTTCAAAAAGAGCTGGTTGGGCTCGTGGATCAGCTCCTTTGCACAGATGGGGCACTGATGGGAAAAGCCAGGATTAGCCCGGCCAGACAGTGCAACCTCCTCCCGGGAAGTCTCGTTATAATTAGGCAGGAAATAGAACTGATATTGGAGAGATTCATTCATAAAAAGTGGTGGCTGGCTCCTGGGCTTCTTGGGAAACGACTTGGGGTGATGTGGCAGTGAGATTCCAAGGGAATCTGGGCAGGAGGGGCCGGGAAGAGCTGGGGGGGAGGCAGAGGGAGCAGATGCACAAAGTGCCCTCCCAGCAGCTCCCTCGGGGGTTTTGGGACACCTCCTCCTTCTGGCAGACCAGGACACTGTGGGGCAGGTCCCAAACGTGCCTCCAGCTCAGTGGAATTCCTTGAAGACCAACTGGCTTTTCCCTTTGGCTCTGCTGGGGGAAGGGACCATCCAGAAATAACCGGTGGCACCAGCCCGGCCCCCGGAGCCAGTTCTCAACATTGTCTCACTTATCCAAACCATATTAAGGCAGGAAAGAGGATAAAGGTATCTCTGAGTAGGATGTGGAGTTAATTAATTCAACATGGGACAGCTGGAATCTTCCTTGAGTGAATCACTGGGGCTCTCGGGGCCTCAGTAGCTTTATTTTAACATGAAGTTCCCAATAAAAGTCCATTTAAACAGGAGCACGGGGCTGACAAGAGGCCAGAACGAAGCACTTGCACTTCAGTCAAGTAATAAGATCTTTTCTAACTGCCTTCAATCAGCATAAGATGCTGCAGCCTGTCAGGGTTACCTTTCAGAAAATTGAAGGTAACCCTGCAAGTAAACAAGAAGGTGCTTTGTGAAATCCATTTGCTTACTCTGAGAAGGAAAGCAAGAAGCTTAAGCTCTTCTCTTTTCAGTGCCACGGGTTTTAAAGGCTGGAGAAGGGAAACACTCTCGTGCACGATGAACAATTTATCCCTGGACTTGGCAGAGCAAAATAAAGAATATAAACCCGAGAAGACATTTATTTGGACAGTGGGCAGAACTGAAGTGTTTGGGATTTGAGTAACGTTACAAAGCACATGAAGCCTCAGAAACACAAGACAGTAAATCTGAATTAACTGTGGAAACTGGACTACTGAACTCTCCTGGCCCTGGGAGGAGGAGGAGAGAGCTGTGGGAATTAACTTTGTGATGCTCCCAGCCCTTTGCAGCAGAGACTCTGCTCCTCTGCAGATGGAAATCTGGGCTGTCCCTCACTCCCAACAGACAGGACTTTTTTTAAATTTCTCTTCTTCCTAGAGCTCCTTCTATGGTTTCTGAGACTTTTCAGTCCAGATTTCCATCGAGATGACAAGTGCCAGTGACCCTGCTTGCCACAAGGGAGCGGGGCAGTTTTTTTCCTGCCGAAATTCTCCCTCTGGGTGAAGCCAAACAAATGATGTGTTTGTTTGTGCTGGCAAACGGGGCAGCAGCAGAGGTGTGGCTGGGACCAGGCCGGCCTGATGCTGAGGGCTGAGGGCTTTTCACAGTCCTTTAGCATCTGTTTGACAGAAAAAAAAAAAAAGTATAAGGATGAGACCAAGGCTTTGTCATTCCAAGCTCTGTCTCTCCCAGGCAGGAGCACTGGGCTCCAAAAGGGGATTATCCACGTCCATCCACCAGAGTGGGGAGTTATTTATCCTCATCTTGCAGGTTCAGATTGTGTTGCTACACCAGAATTGCTGTGGAATTAAATGAATCCCTTTGTGTCAGCCTGGGTGTAGCTCCACAACCATCCCCTGCCACCTCAAAACCCAATAAATCTCAAATTCCTGGAGTCACTCCGTGCAAATCTCTCAGTTCCGAAGGGGAGGAGGCACAGAGGGCATTACTGGCTGTAAAAGAAGTATTGGTTCTAAAATAAGACAGGGCTGGGCAGCAAGTGTGTGCAGGGAAGGCTTTAAATCTTGCCAGCCTTGCTCAATTTTATGGGTGCTTTTCCAAATGTTTGGAAGTTCAGGTTCTGTCCAAGCAAACGTCCCACGTACCCGAACCCCCTGAGGCCAAAAACCTCGGCCACGAGTCCCACGTGACTTTCTTATGACATTTCCAGCTTTTCTCCTTCTGGTCTTGGCTTGAAGTACCATGAGAATATTTTCTTTTCGTGGTCTTTCCACACTTCTCCTTTCAAATTCTAGGCTTGGAAGTACCTTAAGGGCGAGATGGGTTTCTTATTTAGAGCAAAAATGGGATAATGCCACAGGTTTGTCTTCTGTGAGTGCACAAAATAAGACACAGAAGTCTGAAATGCTCTTGACATTGGGCACTTAATGCTGAGTGAGAGATGAATAAACAGTGATTCCTCATCAACAACACCTTTCAAAGCCCTCTCCTGGGAAAGTGAACCTTATCTGAAGCCCTTTCCCTGGATATTCAGCCCTAGAGCTCACGCTGAGCTCGTGGGTTCTTTCAAGGACCTGAATTCTTACTTGGCAGGCTCAGGAGTTATGTCAAGAGCTGCTTATTTCTAATATTGTACAGAGAATTCCTCCCACTATTTCTTCCAGATGCTGCCCGTCTCTATTTATTTATTTCTTTGGATTAGCTGTATTAAAATATAACATGCTCCCAAACTCCCAAAGGATGGCCCTTTCTCATGGGGATGGATGTCCTCAAGCCACTTAACTCCCACTGCTCAGAACAGGGGTAAAGTTCCTGACTCCAGGAATCTCACAGAAAGCTTGGAGGGCTTGGTTTTGAAGGAGTCAGAAGAGGAATGGAGCAAAACAGTGGGCAGGGAGACAGCAAAAACTCTGCAGCTTTTCCAGTGACTTTGGCACTGATCTGGCTATCAGGCACCTGAGCAAGGAACTCCTGAGCCTTTCAGCAGGTTCCTGCTGGGCTCAGAACAAGAAAAAACAAATGGATGAGTGAGAGGGGCCTCTTTGGGCCTCGTTTGATGACGACTTACCTAGTCTGGGGTTTTATTAGACCTGCATCGAAGCGCAGAGACCGTCCAAGCAAACCAAGGACACATGCAAATTTTCCTTGGGTTGGGCTCGGAGGTTTGGGAGGTTGGTTGCACAAAACAGAAGAGTTCTGGTTGGTCTCTGAAGCTCAGTGGGGTGCAGGCACATGGACCGAGTTCCCCCAGCAATGGAGTTTAATGAAATCCAAAACTGAGGGTTTTGGGGGGTTTTTGGTGGGGGCAGAGCCACAAAACGGCTCAAAAGGTGGAGGTGTCTGATGCTGAAACCAGCACGGGGCCTTTGTGGTTCACTCTTTCTCCTCCACTGCACCTAAATCAGAGCAGCAGGAACTTTGAAAGAGGAGAACACAGGGCTAAAGCCTTTAATGCCAAGGAAACCACTCTCAGACACCGTGGGAAGGTCCCTCGGAAGACCATCCACTGTCTTTGTTCAGGCTCCCAACACTCAGAGACCTCACTCCTCAGAAGGTCTGGCCCTGTTTTACAACGTGCTCTCTGTTCACCTGGGAGGTGAACAACAGGTAGGTTCCAACACCTACTCCCACCTCCCAACAGAAGGCGTGACACCCCCTGAGACCCCCGAGTCCTGCAGCCCGTTAAACGTCCTCCCCGCCGTCGCCCAGGGACAGGGTGTGGATTTTGAGGGCTGGCACCTGGCAGCTGTCGTGGCCCAGGTTCCCTGAGGTGCCTGCACAGCAGCATTCCTGCAGGAACCCTTTGCTCTTGGCTTTGGCAGCCGTGCAGTCTTTGGCCACGGCGCTCTTGGCCGGCACGTTGGGCACGGCGGAGAAAATCTTCCACTCGCACACCCCGTCCGACCTGGAGATCTTGTAGAAGGTTTCTCCCGATCCCACGGGGATCCTGACCACCCCCTTGCTGCTCTCCACGCCTTGGCTGGCGGGGTGGTTGAGGTTGAAACTCGGGGTTTGCTTCTTTGCTCCCTTCCTGGGGAGGCACTGAGCCCTCAGCACGTTCTGGAAAGCTTTCTTGAACTCCTGGCTGGAGCAGGGATAGATGATGGGGTTGATGCAGCTGTTTAAATATCCAAGCCAAAATGTTATTTTAAAAAGTGTGTCCGGGGGTTTGATCGCAGGAAAGAAAGAACCTAAAATGGAAAAATACACGGGGAGAGTGTTAAGGCAAAGAGGCAGTGAGAAATCACAGGTAACCAGAGAAACTCAAACACTGGGGAAAAATAAATAAGGGTCTGTCCTGGCTTGGAAGAAATGGTGAGTGGAAGCACAATTCCTGCAGGAAGAAGTGATTCAGAACCTGTGGTGCCACACAATGGCATGGATGTCCTGTCAGGTGTCAGTCAAGGCAGCTGTTTTATTATACAAACATTATATTCCCCTTTTCCAGCCTGGCTGATACGAGGGATGGAGGAAAACTGCCTCCTCTGGGACTCCTAATTCAAGATTAGTTCCCCAAGTGACAGCCATATCTAGGAGGTCATCACAAGGGCTTTTGAATGGCAAGAAAATCACACCATTTCAGAAGTCAGAGCTGGAGGGAAGAGGCATTACTGGGGTGACTGTGTCACAGCTCAGTGTCTTCAAAATGTTCAAGTGCTGGGCACTCATTTTCCATGAAACCTTTAGAAAATCCGGCTGTGCCCATTCTCCTGTCTCATGGAATGCATCTAAAATTCAGAGGAGTGAAAGGAAAGGTTCCTTCTTGCATCAGTGAGCACTGGGGATGCTCTCATGGGCAGCCAGGAGATATATATGGAGATATATATATATTCATACATTTTCTGATATATACTTACAAGGTTACCTCCCAAAGATGATTCAAAGAGCAAGATCTTCGATGTCTCCTTAGTAAGGAAAGTACTGTGGGGCTTTTTATTCTATAGAATTATGAGTTATCTGCTGATTTAAAATCTTGGGAACATTTTTCCTGATGCCAAACCTTTGGGTTTTCCTTTAACTACGACTTGAGCTCCCAATTCGAGTGCCAATTTTAACTTTAAATGACTTGAATGGGATGTCAGGAAATGCTGAAGCCAATTTTTCGTGGAGAGATGTTCCTATAAAGCTACAGAGATATATTTAAAACACCAAAGAGTCAACACTGCTGCTTCTGGAGAATTGTTTGGAAATTTATCATTCCCTGGAACATCATTGCAACAAGATCCCCTAATTCTCCTATTTGGGGTTTTGCTTTGCTTAGAAATAAAAAGAATATTGTCTGAGTGAGAACAAACAAGAAAATGAAACTCTCTGTAATGTTGGGGTGAGGAATAAGTGAAAATAACATTTCTAAGATCAATTTTGCCAAATTATCTACACATGATCTAGAACAGAAAGTGAATTGTGTTGTCAAGGGCTGTTTCTTGCCCCCTTTAAATGAAAAGGAATTAAAACAGGTGGTTCTCTCACCCCAGTGCCAGGAATCACTTCGGGCACGGGAAGAAAAATAATTTCCCAGAAACAAAATTGACTTGTTTGGGAGTTTGGAGTCAAGTGTGTAACAAACAGAACTTTTAGCACTGACAAATTCTTGTCTTCCTGCTGCCCCTGGACAGATCTGCAGCGAGTGCAGGTGGAAAGAAAAGCTGTTCAGGCATCCATGCCTCTGTCCTGCTCTGCAGTGGAACTACCTCTGGAAGCAGCTCCTGAGTTTTCCAGGGATTGATCTCTTCCTTGGACCTCCCCTGGCTTAGGAAAAGCAAATGATGTTCTAATTTAATTCTTCCATTAGCCCAGGTTGCTCCAGCCAGGCAACCATCAGCAAGAAAAGAGGGTTTGGTCTCAAGCTGTGCCAGGGGAGGGTTAGGTTGGAGATTAGGAAGAATTTCTTTGCAGAGAGGGTGCTCAGCCATTGGAATGGGCTGCCCAGGGAAGGGGTGGATTCTCCATCCCTGGAGGTTTTTAAGCAGAGACTGGATGTGGCATCAGTGCCATGGGCTGGGAACCACGGCGGGGTTGGATCAGGGGTTGGACTGGATGATCTGGGAGGTCCCTTCCAACCCAACTGATTCTGGGATTCTGTGAACCTGGCCTTGGACACTTCCAGGGATCCAGGGGCAGCCACAGCTTCTCTGGGAATCCCATCCCATCCCTCCCACCCTCACAGGGAAGGATTTTTTCCCACTATTCCATCCAACCCTGCCCTCTGGCAGTGGGAATCCATTCCCTGTGTCCTGTCACTCCAGACCCTTGGAAATTGTCTCTCTCCAGCTCTCTTGGAGCCCCTTTAGCACTGGGGCTGTTCCCAAAGCTTTTCCCTCTGCAGACAGAGCAGAACAGACCCCCAGGAGCTCAGTCTGTGCCCTGGAGCAGCTGAACCTCAGAATCCATCCCCAAATCCAGTCCTGCTGCCTCTGGGCTGGCCCAGGTGGAGCAGTGTCACTGTAACCCTCAACATCCACCAGGTTTTGAGGCCAAAAACGTTGTGCTGAAGGAACAGGACTGAACAGGCACATCCACAACCTCACGTTTTTCTCAGCAAATTAATGCTCCTCTCCTTTGGTGAAAAAAAACAAAACTAAATAACATTCTCAAAGAACTTTCTGGCTGAAGTCATTGGCAGGGGAAAAATGACTGAAGGCTTTGAAATGCCCAAATTGAGCTCAGAGGGTTTTTTTTTTTGTCATTTCCTCATTTAAATGCAGCATTTCTGCCCCTTTCCCATTCTGGGCTGAGACAGAAGGTGAAACAAAGCCGGGTTTAGGGACTCAGCTGTGTGAGACCGAGTGTAAAGCTGGGTAAACAATAACAATTCCTGTTTGCTGCAGCTCCTGGCTCCCTGTAAATGGAATGCAAGTGCTGTGCCAAGGGCTGTTAAAAATAGAAAGTAGCCAGTGTCAGAGTCTGTCCCTTGCTCTTTTTTTGGGGTGGGATCTGCATGCTAATTTATTAATGTAACCTTTTTTGGTTCATCATGGGGGGAGACTTGTTGCCTTGGAGCAACACACAGGGAGAGAAAACGGAGCAGTTTTACCAGCCCAGAGACTTTGCTGCCCATGGATCCCATCCCACACTGTCTGCCATGGAATCATGGAATGGGTTGGGTTGGAGTGGAGCCTAAACATCACCCAGTGCTACCCCTGCAGCTGCTACCAGTTGCTCCAACCTGGCCTTGGACACTTCCAGGGATGGGGCAGCCACAGCTTCTCTGGGAATTCCATTCCAGCCCCTCCCCACCCTCACGGGGAAGGATTTCTTCCCAATATCCCATCTAGGTCTGCCCTCCTTCAGCTCAAAGCCATCCCCCCTGTCCTTTCAGTGCAACCCCCTCTCCAACCCTCCTGCAAAGTGTTTTTAACACTTTGGGGCCACAGAAGCAATATTCTTCTGCTGCAGACACCCAGTTGCCTCCCTAGCTCAGAAACTTGCCCTAATCCTCCCTGCTGGCCACCTGAGCCTCTGGGGAAAAGGGGAAAAAATTCCTATATTCCAATCCCTTGGGGTGGTTCTCTCCACGGAATACTGAGAATATATTCCTTTCTTCCAAACCTTTCATGTTCAGGGATGTTGGTGCTTGGTGATTAAAATCAGTGGCTGATGGGTCTGGGAGGGAGCAGGAGGCCTTTTCAAACAGAGCTGCTGAAGTGGTGCTGAAGTGGTTTGTTGAGTGTGCTGAGGAGTTGGAATGGGCAGTAAAGTGGCAGCTCGGGTCAGACGAGTTCAAAAGAGAAATAAAACAAAGGCTTTGTGGTTTTTTTTTAAACAATGGCCGTAATTACCCACGAGATTAAACAATGGAGTGGGGAGTTCTCTCTTCTTTAAGGTACAGGAGGAGCAGGGCAGAGTCCATGCCCATGCAACCCTTGGCCAGCTGGTGACTGCCAGGTCATGGCAGCTCAATTTTGGACACTTTCCCACCAGCAGCCAGGGCTGAGAAAACAGAATTATTGCAGCACCTCATTCCCAGAGCAGAGTTTTCCAGCTCCCTGGCTCTGGGCTGGGTGTAATCCCTGCTCAGTGGAGTTCTGCCATGCAGGCAGAGCTGCAGGCTGAGCAGCACGGGAGGGGTGCAAAGTTTTCTTCCTTAAAACCAATTCTCTACCCAATCCACAGCCCTTAACACCTTCCTCTGTGCACTGCCAGGAATTAAATGGTAAATAGGAGTAAAAATGATGAAAGTTTGGAGGCTTCACCCTACATTGTCTCCCTGAATCTGTGCTGGAGGAACACTAAAGAAACCCTCAACTGGCCTTTAATGGATTTTGAACCACAGACTGAGTAAATAATGCTGGAATTCCTGCCTTGTTTCCAAAAGGTTGAAGCCACTCAAGTGTCAGCAGCCCAATTCGATTGCTTCTCATAAAATTAAGTCAAATAAAATGTGCTATTACCCTCCTGAGATCTTTTGCCATCGAGTGTTTCATCACTCAGCCCTGGAAATGTCAGGGCTGCTCTTCCTTCCCTCCTCCTTTATTTTCCTGTTTGTCAACTCCAAGTTTCCTTCAAGCTCAGAGAGAGAGAGAGAGAGAGAGAGGGAAGTTTTCCACTCACCTCCCAGTGAGTAAGTGCCAATTCACTCCCCAAGATGTAATTTGGCTTTGTCATTTGTCACAAGCTGCAGAGCTGCTTGATTATGGGTTGTTTAAAAACCAGCCCTGCTGTCGTGACGGACAGAAAAGAGGGGGTTTGGGAGCTGCCAGGCTGCAGAAACTTGTGCTGTTTGTTTACTCTGTCAGCACCATGGGAATGGGATCTCATATATTTTTGTGACCCATGAACCCTTAGTGTTGTTAAAACCCAGCTCTGCTACTAAATCTTGAGGGTCTGTTTGGGTTTCCTGCTTTTTTTTCCCCCTCTTTTTGGGTTGTTTGCCTCAAATCTGGTGATGGAGGCAGAGCAGGGGAGAGGCAGGTGGGGGTGGTGCAGCACCAGGGCTGTACCCAAATAGAACCTGAGCTTGGAAGGGACCTTAAAATCATCCAGTGCCCCCCCTGCCATGGGCAGGGACACCTTCCACTGGCCCAGGTTGCTTCAGCCTGGCCTTGGACACTTCCAGGGATCCAGGGGCAGCCACAGCCTCTCTGGCAATTCCAGCCCAGCCCCTCCCCACCCTCTCAGCCAAGAATTCCTTCCCAATATCCCATCTGTCCCTGCCCTCTGGCAGTGGGAAGCCATTCCCTGTGTCCTGTCC